CTTTAAACTTGTAATATTATGACTTAAAACTTGTAACATTATGATTTTAAACTTTAAACAGTTCGGTGTTGTTGTTGACCATGTTTCTGTTTTGAAAATTATAATCTTGAACTTGATGCCAGGAGCTCACCGTCTGTTTGTTACATCAGCTTTTATTTTAGTTTTCCAGATGAATCCTTTGTGAAATAATGAGACTAATATTTGCAGCTTTAGGACAATGATGCACATCCTGTCTGGTCTTTACTGACCAGAACCAGAACCAGAACCAGAACCAGAACCCTTCCCTTGCTGTGCACACAGTTCATGAAACGCTCCTCCTCCAGGTGACCTATGAGAGCATCCCCAGGAAGGAGAAGGGCAAGCGATGCATGGTGGGGATGAAYGAGCTGTCCTGGAGCCTGCAGCTGGACGAGCACCAGCTGTGCGCCTGGCACAACGGTCAGCGGGAGACCCTGAGCGGCTCGTCCCACCACAGCCGTATCGGCATGCTGCTGGACTACGAGGCTGGGACCCTCACCTACTACGGAGACGGACAGAGCCGTCTGCACGCCTTCCACTGCGCCTTCAGCCAGGAGCTGTTCCCCGCCTGCTGGATAGGAGAGGGGGTCAGCATCACGCTGTGCTCCACGGCCCACTTCTGAACACTTCTGCCCTGGTCAGAGGACCTTTACTCCTCCTCACCACTTGGTGGTGATAGACTCTGTAACAGACTCACAATCTGCTTCACACAGCTGCATTCTGAACTCTTCCATGTTAGGTAGTCATTAAAGACACACATGTTCAGTTACTTAGTAACACACTGGCTTGTTTTGATTGTTCAGTCTGCTGCAGTAGAGCTCATTTTATGGTATTAATGTAACAACATGTAGTTTTATCAGGTTGTAARGTGATTCCACTCCAACAGTAACAGGTTGTATCATGTCATGAATAAATCAAGTGTAAAACGGTCCCTCCCAGCTTCAGTGTGTTGTTGTTCATGTGTAGGACTGTGTGTCACACATGRCTCGTTCACACAACAGTCTCACCTGGCTTCACAAAGGTCATCACACCTGTGGCTGCTTTCCTTCTTACATCCTATTAAAACTTAGTTTTCCACAAACTGGTTCCATTTCAGCTGTTTTTGTAAAAAAATAAATAAAGACMTGATGACACTAAGCACTCTGTTTCTGTGACCTTCATGTTTGATAAACACCAGATTCTTTTAAATGATGTCCTGGTAGAAAAAAACTGTAGAATGTAGACTTTATCATTTTAGGATATCTACAAGAATGCACAAACAAATCACTACTATTACTGCACTTTTCACACTCTTTCAGGTGGGAATTTAGTTACTGAACCTTTATTATTTGTTTATTACTGAGCCCGCGAGGGGACATGGTTTTTTTTTTTGTTGTTTTTTGTTTTGTGTTCCCTCGCAATACTTTTGCGTTCCCTCGCAATACTTTTGCGT